ACAAAGATTCACTTATCATCTTCCTATTACCTATGTTTAAAATCATGGCAAATATTTCTCCCTTTTTACTCATTTAATTTCAGGTACAGAGATGCCTTACTTACATTTAGCTATGTTAATGTATCTTTAACTTTATTTTAACAATTTCATTGAATACATTGAGAATTGTTATATATGTGTGACTATACTAGGTACTATATTGAATTTGCCATCTAGAGAAAAAGAAAAAACAGTAAATAACTCATGATAAATATTATAAAATTAAGTGATCAGGTGTTAAGGGTAATTGTACATAAATCCATGATGTATAGAAAATAGCCTTATTAACTTGGGACTTTTGGCATGACTTAAATATTATTGGATTTCATAGGGAAAAGAGATGGATGGTAGAAAAGAGTTGAGGAAATATGTTGGTTCAAAATCAAGAACCACCAATTGTAAAATTGTCAGAGTATCCTATACTTGTTGAGGGATAAAAGACGAAATTATAATGAAAGTAATTTGCTGTTCTATGGTTCAGATCTTTAGATGACATGAAAATTGGGCTGAACATGGTGAATACTAATGACTATTAAGTATTCAATACTCTGTAAAACAATTGTAAGTTCCTTTATTACTATATGCATTAATGAAAAAGGACCACCAGCAAAGACATGGTAAGAAAAATAAATTATGATCATCATTATTGGATTGAAAATATTGGGCAAATGAGAGACATTTTAAAGAAAAACTAAAAATTTTGAGATTAAAAAAATCACAGTTGTTAAATTTTTACTATGCGCCTTCCAGGTAAGTTTTATTTAATTTTCACAATACTATACAGTTATATATATTATCAATTGTTGGATTTTCTTTCTCCTTAGAGGCTTGGAGAGTGATTTAGCTTGCCCAAGTTTACATAGGAAGTATGCAGTTGAGCTGAGATTTGAACTCAAAACTGTCTAACAATATCAGTGCTCATTAAACTTATAAAATCATGAAATGGTGGAATTGAAAGAGGTACTGAAGATTATTGATATATAGTGTTTCATCCAGTGCTTTTCCCCTTGAGAAATAACAATATGTGGGAAGTGGTGGTTCAGGCTATACTTGAACACATCAAGTTGTGTGTATGTGACCACATTCTGATGCTGCTGTTTTCATTTCTGATATGTCTGACTGCTAGAATGTGCTTATTGTCTGTGAATTAAAATATCTATAATGAAATATTCTTATTTTGGCTAACTGTATAGAGATAAGGATTCTAACAATTATTTTTATTTCAGTCTTTTGAAGACATATATACAGTCCAAAAAAAACCAAACAACCCAGACAAGTTGGTTCCCACTAAACACCTCATATGGCTTCCAAGACTGTAAGACTTGGAGACAGACTACCACATCTTTCTCCCTTGGATTGGCTATTGGTTTACAACTAGCAACCTTTTTGTTGGCAATTGAGATCTTAACCACTGTCCCCAGGGGTTTTAAAAAGACTCCAATAGCTCTCACATATGGTAACATTTTAAATATTTGGAGATCACTATCATAATATGTATTCACGTATAGCTATATATATAACTTTATATATACATATATATGTGTGTTCAAAGTTTTTTCGGCTATCTTTCAAAGGACAAGGCTTCTATATGTTTTCTCTAAAGTTGTCTAGTGCTTTATAGTCTAC